GTTACCTCTCCATAATGAACAGGACGGAGATACCCAGCTTTGAGGAGCTTCCCCAAGTGGCTGCAGAGAGCAGGGTAAGATGGAAAAGGAGGATTTACTTAGGAAGTTGTACTTAATGCAAAGCAAACTGATACCCAAGGCTATTTTCCAGCTTCTAAATGCACAGCCACCTTGATCACACCACTGATTACACAGTTGTGTCCATTTCAATGCCATTTTGCATCGACTCGATGATCTTTGAGGTCTCTTCCAACCTGGCTGACATAAATTAAAGCTTTGAAAAAAAAGAATGTCCTCGTGCAGACACTTGAAGGGAAGGGTTTGATGTTTTGGCAATGTTGTGTATCACTTAGATTATTCTTGTCATGTGTACCATTATTAAAGGGAGGAGCATTAATAGCTTTAAAGCATTAAACAGACCAAGGCACTGCCCGTGCTGAACAGTGTTGTCTGATGCTTAGAACCTGAAACATCACCGACCACCAGCAAAGGAGTTGCCATTTACCCTCATCAGGAGAGGGATCCGTGACCTCGAGTCGTATGGACCAGACACTTTGGCTCTGTGCAAAGGACTCACAACTTTCGTGGCTTACAGAGTCTACGGTGAGTGCAAGCCAAGGAATTCTGTCCCTACCTCAGCTGGCACCTTTTGCCCTTGGGCAGCAACTAATGCTCAACTGCTGCTGCCCCAACTCAAGGTGGGCACAAACCCAGAAAGCAGGAGCACCAAGGTGCAGGTGTCCAGTTCTGAGTGACAGAGCCACTCCAAAACAATCTTCCCTCGTCCATTAAACACTACTAACACAGCAATTCTTTGACACCTCCCTCAATCCAAGCACCAGCAATGCCCTTTTGCTGTTTGGCAGCTCTTGCTGAGAGGTTGGTCTAAATCAGCTCTGTTGCTGTGGATGTCTTAATCATATTTTGATTAATTCTTATAGAATTTCTTGTAATTGAGGGGGAAAAAATACTTTCTTTTTAACTATAGCCAAAGGGACCAAGTCTTACTCTGAGGAGTTAATACTGAAGCATCATCAAAGTACTCTGAGCTTTCCTGAAAGCTGAAACAAAGATGCTTTGCAGTTCAGGCTCTGCATGTTGCATTCTGACATCACAGCATTTCCACCTACTCCCTGAGTGCTCTGCTCTGAGTGTGGCTCTGGCACCTGAGAGGGCTCGAGCTGATCAGAAAGCAGAGTGCAGTGTGCAGGGTGTTAAGGGCACAGATCCCTTGGCAGTACCTGAACCACTGTCTCACAGCCATTTTTTTTTCTTTTCCTGTTTATAAAGGACCTCAAGTGAGTCTCAGATCATGCACTAGACTTGATGTCCTTCAATATTTGACCCTCCAGTACTGCCATGACAATAACCATGTGTAGAAATTGCACATTGCCTGAACCAGGGGTGGATGTTTGAGCTGCAGCTTTGCAACTGCTTCCCAAAGCCAACCCTGAAGTCCTTCTTCCCTGGCGTGTGGTTCCTCCTGAAGGACTGAGGTGCTGGAACATATCAACAGGTGATCTGAGCTTTCAAATAAAGACCTTGGTCATGGATTGACTTTGTTGTTATTCTACCCTTTCTCACCTGTGAATGGCTCCAGACAAACGGTGTGTCCTGTGCCCCATCTGAGCCCTTCAGATGCTCCTTCCATCACCATCTCTCACCACTGGACACCTCAGAGGGCTGGGCAAGCCTGAGGGTGTGTGTTACACATGAGGCTTCGGAGTTAGGACCTTCCTATCCTCATCCAGGGGAAGATGCCTCACAGCAAAAACCTGAAGACAGATAATGCAACAAATTTACCATTATGAAGGGGAAGAGAAGTCCCCTTGGTGGGACTTACAGGTTTGCCCTGTTCCTAAAGAGCATTTCCAGCCCTTTTCCCCACTCATGTTTTCCTGTCTTTTCCCCCATCTCATTTCCCACCCTCTTCCCCCCCACACATTACCTGACCTTTCCCCCCCTCATATCCAATCCTTTCTGCCTCATGTTTCCCATCCTTTCCTGCCCTGTTCTCCCTCTCTCTACCCCTCACATTACCCGACCTTTCCCCCCTCACTTTCCCTCCCCTC